ATATATATTATATATAATATATTATATATATATATATTTTTAGGGTTTTAAGCTACAGGAACACGTAGTTCGTTTTTATGTAAAACATCAGTTTGTTTACAGGGCCCGAGTGCTGTGCCACACGATCTGGTTGAGTGAGGGCTTCTCATCCTCGGCGCTATGGACACGTTGGACGGGGTGATTCTTTGTTGCGGGGGCCTGTCCTGTACCCCATAGGATGGATGTTTAGCGGCCTTCCTGGCCTCCCCCCACTAGATGCCAGTAGTACCCCTACCCCCATCACGACAAAAATGTCTCCAGAGATTGCCAGATGTTTCCCAGGGGACAAAAAAGTGCCCCTAGGTGAGAACCACCGGGTTATGTCAATGGAGTTTGAGCCTAAAATCTCAGTTTTTTAATAATTTCCTGCTTTCCACTTCTAAATTGTGGGGGCCGTGGGCTTTTGACATCCAGGCCATTCTAGGTCAGCTGGGAGGAGTGAGAGACAGTGTGCCTCTGGGTGTGAAGAGACCGCCAGGCCCACAGCGTCGAGTCACCCCTCTACTAACTGCTTGAGTTCTCAGATGCTGAAGGAGTAAAGACGAAGCAAGTCCGGGTAGATTCTCACGTTGTATTTTCTCCCGTGTATATTTTGACTCATCAATTTCATTTCACTAAACTTAGTTCAAGTCCTCATTCTTTTTGTCACCTAACATCTTCATCTGGTTGAGATGTTTCAAGATTGAAGACTGGCAATCAGCCAGTGATCATTGCTAGCAAAGGGGGGATAATTAGGCTAGAATATTTCCAGTCTGACATTGTCTTTTGGCTTCCGGTGATTAATGTGCTCCAGACTCCCGCATTGTGACTGGGGGTTTCCGTAGTTAGCTAGTTATGAACTAGCCCTAGGCTTAGTGTCTAGGTGAGGAATTTTGACATCCATTAAAATCAGGATGAAAGGTGTGCTATCGATGCATGAAAAATTGAAACCACCGAGTGGCTCCTCACCACGAGTCTGTCTGCACTTTTGAAACTGCGGGATCATTGTACTTGTACGTTTCCTTAATGAATACAATAATCTCACTAAATACTTCAAATTTCACTAGATGCCTTTTAGGTCCTCCCTAAAAAAATTTGGCAAGACTAAAGTCATATTTGCAGATCACCTTACGCTCCACGGTCACGGTGATTGGCTCTCCTTGTCTCCTAGCTTTCCCAGCTGATAGTTAACACAGGAGGAGTGGCTGCTGTGACTGACTGTATCGGGTCCTGCAAAGGAAACATAAGACTGCCTGGCATCATGATGCTCGGCTATGTCGCGGCTCATTCTGAGAACCTGGCGATGGCGGTGATCGTCTCCAAGGTCTGTGCTTGTGTCATTTCCTCTAGTTACTGCAGGGACGTGTTCTAACACCGAGCCACAGGCACATGCTCTCCCACAGAGTATAAAGTATAACTGACCTACCTGAAGAAATGTTTTCGAGGCTCATGAATAAGTGTCCCAAAGCAACGCTTGAAATAAAGTTTACTCTGCAGGAGTTTCCAATTTTAGCCAGTGTTTAGTAGCAACCAACTATCAACGCCTCTGAGTATTGGTATTTTGTGCGTTTAAATAGTCAATGTACTGGGCCCCTGGGTGGCTCAGTCGGTTAAGCGTCTGACTCTTGGTTTCGGCTTGGGTCATGATCTCATGGTCTGTGAGTTTGAGCTCCGTGGCAGGCTCTGCACTGACAGTGTGGAGTCTGCTTGGGATTCCCTCTCTCCCTCTCTCTCTGCCCCTCCCCTGAGCGCTCTTTCTCTCTCAAAAACAAATAAGCTTGAAAAAATATTGAGTGTATTTGGATCTTGAAGGATTGACTACACATTTACAGACACTTAAAGCACACTTTGATTTATGTATAAAACAACTGTTATAAACAACATTCCTGGTGGTCGTCTTTATTATTCTCTGACGTCTCCACTTTATCCTGTTTCCCGTCACTTGGGTAGGAGATGACAAGGCTAGGTCTTCCCTTCTTTACCCGCCTTCTCTCCGTCAGCTTTCGTGAACTAATTTCTCTTCTCAGAGGTAGGCAATTCACAGCACACATCAGATAGTAATGTTTTTGTTTCCTTGCTCTCGGGATTTGGCCCTATCTCAGCTTGGTATTGACCCACCACGGAGTGTCGCCTTGGCACGTAGTAGGTGCTCAAAAAATATTTCTTGAATGAATAAATACCGATCTCCCAAAGAATGCTTCAAAAGCTGTATGCTTACAGTCTCTGGCAACCCTCTAGGGTGTGGGTTTCTTATCAGCATAGAAAACCTGCTGCTGTATGTTAAACAGAAGTGTGGATTTTTTTTTTTTATCCCTTGCTAATCCTCAGAATAAAGAGGAACCTCAGATCTTTATTTTCTACCTATTCCTTGATAATTCTTTGCTCCCCTCCCTTTTTATCCTGCGCTTCTCCTTTTGTTCTTCTATTACCAAAGACTGTGATAGCGACTAGAGCGGTGGTACCGCTTTCTGAAGGGTCACCGTGGGGATATTATTGGGATTTTCGATTTGCAGTTCTTTGCGCAGAGTCAGAAAGCTTGCACACAGGAAAGCATGAAAGAAGCCATTACTTTTGCTCCCCGTGTTTCTTCCCCAAACTAACCAGGAGGCGCTCCCCTCCTTTGGTCTAGGGTCGCCGCTGTCCTCTCCCACCTACTTTGCCTTTCAGTCAGTGAAGAGCGGGGTGGAGGCAGCCGCAGTTTGAGGCAAACCACCCGGAGCCGCGTTATCCTTGCCTTTTCCTCCGCGGTACAGGGCCTAGTAACAACTCCCATTCAAATAACACTTGGTAATTTTCAAAGCACATTCCTAACAACCGAGGCCAGTAAGTCAGAATTTGGGGGGATGGGGAGAGGGTGCCTTCTCTCCCTCTTGCTGCTTCATTCGTGATGCATCCCAGAAGTATGGGGTTTCTGGGAAGGTTCCTCACTCTGCAGACAGATCTGACCTTTTTCGTATTGGCAGATGCACATTTTTAGTTGTAAGAAGGAAGCCAATGAAGAGATATGGCAGGTTTCTTCAGGAAATTGGTCTTACTAATAACCAAATTTAAAGGCAGACGAGGGACGCCTGGGTGGCTCAGTTGGTTAAGCGTCTGGCTCTTGGTTTCAGCTCAGATCGTGATTTGTGAGTTCAAGCCCCGCATCGGACTCTGTGCTGACAGGGCAGAGCCTGCTTGGGATTCTCTCTCTCTCTGCCCCTCTCCTGCTCATACACTCACCCTCTCTCTCTCTCAAAATACATAAATGAACTTTTAAAAAAATAAATAAATACAGGCAGACAAAAAGAAAGTATACATGATCATTTGGCCTTTGCTATGGTAGCCTGACCATGTGACAAGATTGGCTTTTATGATACTAAATTTAAGGTGATAATTATCCTTTTTTTATGACTAATTTTTTTTAAGTTTTATTTATTTATTTTGAGAGAGAGAGAGAGAGAGAGAGAGGGAACACGCATCAGCAGGAGAGGGGCAGAGAGAGGGAGACAGAATCCCAAACAGGATCTGCACTTGTCAGTGCGGAGCCTGATGCGGGGTTTGAACCCATGAACCGTGAGATCGTGACCTGAGCCAAAATCAAGTGTCAGATGCTTAACCGACTGAGCCACCCAGGCGCCCTGAGGTGATAATTATTATAGTCTCAAATGAGTTAGGAAGTTATGCCTGTACAGAATTTGGAATTATAAATTGATTTGGTTATTTGAGTCTTCCTTGGGTATATAAACTATGGTGTCTTTGAGACCCGTTAGTTAATTCTGCTTTGCGTATCGAGATAAAAAGCCTGAGCAAAATATAAGCACATGCTATCTGTATAACAAAAGTAATCATTTCTACTTTGACATTTAATCATGTTAAAACGGAAAAAACTATCGTTTAAAAGTTAGCCCAAATAAGTGAAAAGTATTTAGTATTCAGGAAAGTTTTTAGTGAAGGTACTTCATCTAAATGTTACTTAAATGGAATTCTGGCTTGTTCTTGTAATTTTGGATCTATAGTAGTTATTTTGTTGTCAGATCTATTATACTTGGTGAAAGGTGATTTTTTTTTTAAAGGATTCTAAATTAACTTTTTAAACAAAGGCCAATAAAAGGTTTCAGAACCCTGAGCACTTTTATTTTGTCACAGTGGAATCTGGTTTTGCCCGTAATATGCTAGCCTGGGACATCTGTTGTTTGGTTAAATGCCTATTTGGGGAGGAAACGCTAGCAGAGATGTTCTTAGTTTAGTTGGATTGTTACAGATAATCAAGGTAAATTAGTTCTAGTCATTTTATCGACTTGAAAAATGACAGCCCCTGTGATGTGCTCATTTATCGAACCGTTGAGGAAAAAAAGGATCAAGGCCAAAATGATGCCTTCTCATGTTTGGGAGACACGGGAGACTCTTTAATCCCGCTCTGGATTCATACCACTCGCTCTTTTGATGGACGCTGCAGGCTGTGCCCCAGTTGTCGGTCTGCCTGTGCGAAGAACCAGAAGATCACATTAAGGCTGCGGCCGCCTGGGCCCTAGGACAGATTGGGAGACATACCCCGGAGCACGCACGGGCCGTTGCCGTCACAAACACCCTGCCTGTTCTGCTTTCGCTGTACATGTCCACAGAGAGTTCAGAGGACCTTCAGACAAAAGTAAGCGCTTCCTTTTTAACAGCTGGATGAAAATTTGCTAGACCTGACCCATTCTTAAAAATAATGTCGTTTTAAAGGTGATACGTTATCATTATGGATCATGCTGATTTTATTAATAGGTGCAGTGTGGTTTGTAAAGTAAGTGACTGGGTTTTGTATTCTGCATGCACGTTGACTTTTCTTACGGAATCGGAATTGAATAATAGGATTCTGGAGGTGGAATTGGTTAGAACTTTGGTCCAGTTAACATTAAAAAATTGAGTCTAAAAGAATTTAAGGTGCTTTCCAAAGGTATAATACAAATGGTCAGAGGGTATTCCTGAAGCCATGATCTACCTCTTCTAACTCCAAGTCTGCTTGATCTTTTAATTATATGTTTTATGTTTGTTCCTTAAAAGAAAAATGTCCATAAGATGCACTAAGTTAAACATTTATATATCATGCATTGAAAATTTTATTTTATTTTTTTTTTAATTTTATTTTTGAGAGAGAGGGAGGGAGACACAGAATCTGAAGCAGGCTCTAGGCTCTGAGCTGTCAGCACAGAGTCTGATGCGGGGCTCAAACCCACAAACTGAGATCATGACCTGAGCCAAAGTTGGACACTTAACCCACTGAGCCACCCAGGTGCCCTAAATCATGTATTTTTAATTTTTTTTTCAACGTTTATTTATTTTTGGGACAGAGAGAGACAGAGCATGAACGGGGGAGGGGCAGAGAGAGAGGAAGACACAGAATCAGAAACAGGCTCCAGGCTCTGAGCCATCAGCCCAGAGCCTGACGCGGGGCTCGAACTCACGGACCGCGAGATCGTGACCTGGCTGAAGTCGGACGCTTAACTGACTGCGCCACCCAGGCGCCCCAATCATGTATTTTTAAAAAAGACAAGCTTTCTGAAAAAATATTACCAGCTACTAGAAAGATTCACAAAGCATGAGTTTCATTAGGATGGGTTGTTTAATAGTTTTAGAATTTCAAAGAAAGAAAAAATGTTTCCCAGGATAGTCCCTATACTTTTCTGAAAGCAGTTTGCAGAATTGACTTGGACTGAGGAAAGTGCACAGAAAAGATGATAATTCAAAATAAACTAACGATAGTAAGTTAAATTCCATTTAAATTTTAGTTAAAACAATAAATTAACAAATCGGAAAGCATGTTTGCTGAAGCAACTTTAGATGGTGTAACAAGGCAGGAAATTTACTTGAACTATACAGCTGAGGGGTTCTGAAAGTTACAGAATCACTTGTTGGCTTTATAAACTTATAAAAGTGAATTTATGTTTATTTGGTTATATTTACACGTTATTTCACTACAGATTCATCGAGGGAAGTTTACTTCTAAGACTAACAGTTTTTCCATTTTTGTAAGACTTTCCAGATCACAGCAATGATTTAATAGACTCAGGGCTTCCCTTACATTTCTCCAGTGTCGAGTAGATGCTGGCTGGCAGTGCTTGGTAGAGAGGAAGACTGACAATATGCCAAGGCCTTTCCCTGGCTAACAGTTCTGTGATTCTTTGGCTTTCTGGTGAGAAACCACAATCGCCTTTCCAGTTTTGAGTTGTCCAAGTACAGCTGATTTACATATGTATCATTTCAACTTATGTATGTAGTTCTCTTTTTGCCTCATATTTTTTTAACCCATCACCATGCTCGCCTTTTCTTCCTCCCTCTTTTCTCTCATTCGCACCTCCACTCCCCCCTCCCCCCCACCTCCCTCCTCATTTCTTACCCTTCCCACCCTGACCTCTAGCGGTCCAAAGACTACGGCCTCCCCTAGCAGGGTCTCCACAGGTACAAGCTGTGCCCGATATGTAATAATATAATAATAAAATAATATAAATTATTTATTTATAAATTATTATTTATTTATATATATTTATATATTATATATTAATATATTTATATTATAATTTATAAATTATTATTTATAAAATAATAAAATAATAATATAATAATAATATTTTCCTTTAAGTTTTAGAAATAAAGGCATATGTTAGCTATAGACTGAATAATTAATCGCAGAGTCAAGAGTAATTATAGTTTGAGAAACCCTTATAAATAGTGTCTTAGCACTATATACTTTTTATACGCTACTAAGTTTATATAACTTGGTTTTTAATGAATCGTTATCATGTTAGGTTGTATAAATATCACTAGAGTAAAATAAGTTTGAGAACTTCACCTTTTGAAACAAGATTGTTTTTATTGTGTGTAAGTTTAACAAAATTAGTTTTATTCAAACATTCAGGTTTACTAATAGAAGTTAAGGTTCCTTTTGTCTATGTTTGATACAATATTTATTTTCAGGAAATACAGTGGGTGTTAAATTAAAAAGTGCGATCTTTATCAATCATTATCCTGTCAGCAATCTTTCCAAGGCTTTTTAAGTCCATCCAAATATTTTCTTATTGTAGGGACTTGGTTATTATTTCTGCTTCCCCAAGGTTTCTTGGATTCTAACCTTGGTTGTTTTAAGGGCTTTACAATGAAAGTCCAAGTCTGTTTGATTTGACATTATCTCAGTAGGGAAAAATGTATCCAAGAGCTTTAGGAACCGGCTAATGGTATTTCTCATTTGTTACTCTGTGGCAGCTTTCACATTAAAGGCCACGTTGAAGTTCATTTTGTCCCAAAGGCAGGTCAGCTTCTGTAAGCATTCTCTAATTGGTTCTGATCCAGGAGAACCAATGAGCAGTCCCTTGGAATTGCTCGCATGTTTTCACACAGAGCCTTCTATCTGCCTGCACCTAAGTTATTTCAAATGCCTTATTAAAAGCTGAAAAAAAAAAATCTAACTTTTATCTAACAAGCTCACCTACATACATTTTGAAACTATTCACACAGTTGCCTTTTCATTTGTTTTGATTTAGGGGCGTCATACTGAAATGGTCTATCTTAGGTTGGCATCTGAGTAGGTTCATTCGATTACCTTCGTTACGAAAGTATTTCTAACATGACTTAATTATTGTGTTCTTCCCATCACAGTCGTCTCCCTTTGTTTTTTAGCAGCTTTATTGAAATATAGTTCATATGCCATATAATTCACCCACTTAAAGTATACAGTTCAATGGTTTTAGTACATTCACAGATGCAATCGTCCCCACAATCTAATTTTAGAATGTTTTCATTCCCCCCTTAGGGATCACTCCATACCCTCCCTGCTTAGCTCCAGGCAACCATTAATTTACTTTCTGTCTTTGGAGATTTGCCTCTTCTGGACACTTCATTTAAATGGAATTACACAGGGGCGCCTGGGTGGCTCAGTCGGTTAAGCATCTGACTTTGGCTCAGGTCATGACCTCGCTGTTTGTGAGTTCGAGCCCGGCGTTGGGCTCTGTGCTGACAGCTCAGGGCCTGGATCCTGCTTCGGATTCTGTGTCTTCCCCCTCTCACTGTCCCTCCCATGTTCATGCTCTGTCTCTCTCTGTCTCTCAATAATAAGTAAACGTTAAAAAAATTTTAATGGAATCATACATTGTATGTGGTCTTTGGTGCCTGGCTTCCTGTCACTTAGCGTAACTTTCAAGGTTCATCCATATTGTAGCACATACCAATATTTCGTTCCTTTTCATTGTCAAATAATATTCCATTGCATCACCATACTACATGTTGTTTACCCATTCACCAGTTAATGGACATTTGGGTTGCTTCTACTCTTTTATTACTATGAATAATGCTGCTGTGAACATATTGTACAAGTTTGTGTGTGGATGTATGTTTTCATTTCTCTTGGGTATAAACCTAGGAGTGGCATTTGCGAGGTCATATCTTAACTCTTTAACACTTTGAGGAACGGCCAAACTGCCTTCCCATGTGGCTGCACCATTTCCTATATTCCCACCAGCAGTGTATGGGGTTCCAATTTTTCCACGTTCTTGTTGAGACTGGTTATTACCTTTGTTTCTTCATTATAGCTCTCCTGGTAGGTGTGAATTGGTATCTCAGTGTGGTTTTGATCTGCATTTCCCTGATGGCTAATGATGCTGAAAAATCTTTTGATGTGCTTATTGGCCATTTGTATATCTTCTTTGGAGAAATGTCTAATCAGACACTTGGCCCATTTTTAATTTGGGCTGTTACCTTTTTATTACTGAGTAGGAGTTCTTTATATATCTCAAATACAAATTCTTATCAGATGTATGATTTACAAGTATTTTCTTCCATTCTATGGGTGGTCATCAGTTTATTGACAGTGTTTTAATGGGGTTCAGTTTGTTTTTTCTTTTGTTGCTCGCCCTTTTGGAGCCCAGACCTAACACAAGGTCATGAAGATTTATGTTCCCCCTTCCTTTTAATAACTGTGACTCTTTGGGCTACAGGGCTTTCAGAACAAAATTAATTTTTCAATAAGAAACATCATTCATTTTAGGCAGTTTTCATTAATGATCATCCATTAAGGAGAGCAACAATAATTTTTGTTATTTCTTTTGTTTTCTGTGAAAAACAATTGAAGTCGTATCAAGTATTGACAATTTCATCTTGTTAATTACTATTCTTATGTGTATTGTGAAGAGATTAAAAAATAGTATTGCTAGTCACTTACTGTGGGTTTTACAATAGTTTTTATTAATGTGGACAGAGTCAGCTTTTAGAGATGACAGAAAAATGAATGAATATAGACCTGTACATGGTATGCTACTTTGTAGGAAAACCTGGCTCAAACCCAAGTTGCCCTAAATAGACAGTTCATGACTCCTTCTCTGATATCATCATATATTATGTATATTTAAGGACAAACACTAGCTACTAAATGCTGTGACAATTAGAAAAATCCATAATCTAGTATTATTTCAAAGTAATAAATTACTTGATTTACTGAAATAAAAGAGTTTGTTTACACCATATACATTCTCTATAATTCAGAGTATGAAGTTGTAAGAACTATTTTATTTTGTTCACTGCCATAAATAACCAAACATAAGGCATATTTTCTTTTTTAATCTTTTTAAATTTTTTTTAAAATTTATTTTTGAAGTAGAGAGAGAGAGACAGAGTGTGAATGGGGGAGGGGCAGAGAGAGAGGGATACACAGAATCCGAAGCAGGCTCCAGGCTCTGAGCTGTCAGCACAGAGCCCGATGCAGGGCTCGAACTCACGAGCTATGAGATCACGACCTGAGCCACAGTTGGACGCTTAACCGACTGAGCCACCCAGGTGCCCCCATTAGGCATATTTTCTAAAGGCTAATCAATTTTAAACCCAACATATGACATGATCTTGTGTGTAGAAAATCCTAAGGAATACATACACACACACACACACACACACACACACACACACACACACATACACACACACAAATACTAGAACTAGTAAGAGTTCAAGATCACTAGATATAAAATCAGTATATTAAAATATAGGTTCATATGCTGGTAATAAACAATTTAAATATGAGGGGTGCCTAGCTGACTCAGTCGGTGGAGCGGGCGACTGTTGATCTCGGGGTCATGGGTTCAAGGTCCACGATGGGTATAGGGATTATAAATAAACTTAAAAAAATATGAAATTAAGATAATAGTTTCATTCACAGTAGTATCAAAAAGAATAAAATACTTAGGCATAAATTTAATAAGAGAAGTATAGATTTCTACACTGAAAACTACCAAACGTTGCTGAAAAAAGTTAAAGAAGGTCGGAATAAATGGAGAGAGACCTTCCATGTTCATGCACTGGAAGATTCGATATTGTTCAGATGGCAATACTGCCCAAATTGATCTATATATTCAATACAATCTCTGTCATAATCCCAACTGGCTTCCCCTCTCCCCTGAACTTGAGAAACTGATCCTAAAATTCATATGGAAATGCAAAGGACCAGACTAGTCAAAACAATCTTGTAAAGAGACTTATACTGCCCAATTTGAAAACTTACTACAAAGCTACAACAATCAAGATAGTATGGTAATCAAGATATATGGTACATATATCAATGTAACTGAATTCTGAAAATCTGAAATAGACCCTTTTACGGTCAATTGATTTTTCACAAAGGTTCCAAGGCAATTTAATGTGAAAAGGATTAAGTCTTTTCAGCAAATGGCACTGAGACAATTATTATATCCTCAAACATAAAATATTAATTTGGACCCCTATCTCATACCATATACCAGAATTAACTAAAAATGGATCATAGATCTACATATAAGAGTACAAAACTCTTAGAAGAAACCTTGGTTTAGGCATTAATTTCTTAGAAATGACACCTAAACACAAGTGATAAACAAAAACATTCATCTTGTGGTTTTTATCAAAATGGAAAGCTTGTATGCTTTCAAAGACACCATTAAGAAAATTAAAAAAAAAAAAACAAGCCACAGACTTGAAAAAATAATTTGCAAATAATACATTCAAGAAAATACCTGTATTCAAAATACATAAAGGGCTCTTACAACTCAAAAATAAGAAGACAAATGACCCACTTAAACAATGGGCAAAAGATCTGAATAAACATTTTACCAACAAATGACCAATCAGTATGTGAAACAACGTTCAACCTCATTAGTCACTACAGAAATGCAAGTCAAAACCATAATGAGCTATTAATTCACACCCACAAGAACGGCTACAATTAATAAGACAGTACCAAGTGTTGATCATTATTTGGAGAGTCTCGAACCTTCAAACCTTCTTACATTACTGGTGGAAATGTAAAATGTTGCAGTCACATTGAAAACCAGTCTGGCAATTTCTCTAAATAGTAATGCTATCACATGGATGAACCCCAAAAACATTACACTTAGTGAAAGACACCAGACTCCAAAGTTCACAGATTTTATGATTCCACTTACATGAATTGTCCAGAAAAATAAAATTTATAGACAGGAAGTAGGTTAGAAGTTGCCCAGGGCTGGTGGGGGGTCACTACAAATGGAATGAAGTTCCTTGCTGGGATGATAAAGATGTTCTAAAAATTAGGTTGTGGTGAGAGTTGTACCGCTCTGTAAATTTACTAAAAATCCACTGAATTATGTACTTAAAATGAGTGAATTTACAGTATATGTTATATTTCAATAAGGGTTGTTAAAAAATCTAAAGCCCAGAAATTGACAAGTTAATAAAATATTAATTAATATACTTTCTAGAAGTATGGAGTCATAAATCAAGTATACTTCTTGACAAAGGATAGTAAAGTTCAGTGAATTTCTAGGATCATTAGACTCTTTTCTAGAATTCTCAGTTAATAACTCGATAGTATATCACCATGGTACGGTGGTTGTGATCTGTGTTACACAATTAGTAGACCTTATCACCAGTAGCGGTTAAGTTAAATTTGTCAGCCTGCTAAGGTCACCATGATCCTAAGACGGCTCACAAAGATATAACTAGGTGTGTCGGGGACTGAAAGTTTAGTCCCAACTTACTTGTGGAAGAAAGTTGGGTTGCATTTCTTACCTTCCTTCCTTTATTTCATCTAGTTTATGAAACAACGTTTGAGGACAAACGTATCGAGAGATAAGTTATGCAGGACTGCTTAGACCGGGGTTCTGGTAAACCATAAAATTAACAGGGCCTTTACTGATAGCACAAATGTGATGAAAGTTTTTCCTGAATTTACAATTTTGCCAATTGTAAAATTCATGATGTGAGAATCAGAACGCTCTTTGACATTTCAAAAGCACTGTTAAACATTCAGTAGTAGGATCGCAGAAGACCAGGTTGGCTAAGGCCTGAGAGAGAATGGGTGATCGGAGGAAGGAAGCACAAAACCACATACAAGCAGGTGTGGGATTCCAGGGGGAGACAGCTGTGGGCCAACCTGACTGGGGAGCCTTCCGAAGTGAAGGGGGCAGGCTTTAATACAAGGAAACAGAATCACAACCAGCCGTGGCCTTAGAGGTGGCCTCAGGGATGCGCTACAGTCACATCAGGACCCTTCTTCAGCCACACTTGTGTCACTGTGAAATACAAAGTGCTGGGGACAGGGGGGAAGTACCTGTTCTTGAGCTTGTGGATAATACCTTCCCTGCTGCTGAGGGGACCTCTCCCGTATGGTCGGGTCGATCTTTGTGAATGGGGCAGTTTCACATCTGCAAATGTTCACTGAATTATGCACATAGAACCTTTCTGACTATACCTAGAAGTCATGAAACCTTTTAGAGAACACAGAATGTTTGATAATGACTTTCTACAATGAACTGAGTGTTTTCTACTCGTTGGTTGGAAGGAATAGGACATATTGGTGCTCTCATGGCTTAACATATACAAGGTTTTACACGAATGAGATATAATACATATTAATTTAGAGTCTATAGCCTTATGCTTAATTTTACTTTGCTCATAGGTTATTTTAAGAGATCAGTAATACACCGCACATTCTAAAATTTAACATGAAGGCAACCGGCAGGTAGGTGAAACCCATGCCAGATAGAAATTTTTCTGACACCCATCTTAAACAATGAAACACCTGCAGGTTGGACTGGAAATTCACTGTATTTTCAAATTCTAGGAACATGAGCCATGAATTTTGGTCAAGCTTTGATTATTACTTTGGTCTGTATTTTGCTTTGCATTTCAATAGAGTAAGAAAGCCATAAAGAGTATCCTACAAAAATGCACCTATTTACCGGCCCTTGAGCCGTTTCTGTATGATGCGCCCCCCAATATCCTGAAGCACGTGGTTGGACAGTTCAGTAAGGTAAGAGATGCTCTCTTTTCTGAAAGTGGGGGAAGAACATTTCAATGGCTTGTTAATTTCTTTTTCCCCCCGTTGGGTCAATGTCTCCTTCCGAGAGATGGGGGCAGGGCTTTACTCCTTAGTTCTCACTGACTATCGCGACAGGGAAGGCAACACAGGTTAATAACATTCACATAAGTCAAAAAAGATTCACACACAAATAATTCATACTTCCTCCTTCACATTTTCCTCACAGCCTCTACTGTCCTTTTTAGTGTTCTTGAGGAGAAGATAGTACGTCAACATATAAAAACCCCATAATACAGACAGTTTATAGTGATAGGTAATTTAGCAATTATCCTGGTGTCTGTTGGTCTCACTCATCTGGGAACACCGCAAAGATCTTCTAAAGAAAAATAAAAAGGTCTCTGAGCCACGTATGACAAAGTCCGTGCACTCTTCTGGAGATGCTTTCAGAGCGTCATTTAGAGTTTATTGACTCATTTTACGAACGGTTTTAACAAATATAGCCACCATATTTCTTAGATCATGGCAGATTAAAAGTAGTAAGGTAGAAAGGTCAAGCTGCTGGACGTGGGCTTAGCCAGCAGGACTGACTGACTGCTGCTAGCAAAGGCCGAGAAAGAATGATGGCGTTCCCACGGCCATCGATGGCCAGGATGGTAACTCAGGCTGTAAAGAACCGATTAAATGGTGCTCAGGAGATTTCATTTAAGAAAACGGGGTCTCTGGAAGTAGCATCCCAGAGTGGTTATGAGCTCAGGCTCTGGAGCTGGAGGGCCCGGATTTCCCATTTACCAGCTGTAATATCTTTAGCAAACTCTTGACCTCCCTAAACCTTAGTAGGCTTACCCATAAAACAGGGGGTAATAAGAGTTCCTGTTTTATAAGGTCATTGTAAAGATTAAATGAGATGTTATACGTAAAGAGCGTAGCTTAATCTCAGGCACATATTAAACACTCACCGCCCCCCCCCCCCCCCCCCGCCACTGAAAACCACACGATGTTTTTAAGAAATAAAACACAGAGGTGCTTAAGGTTGACTTTCATAAACTAATGCACATAGATGGGGGCCAAATTCCTCTGAATCGTTAAAAAGCTAACGTAAAGGAGGTATTACTCTTCGCATACTAGATTTCTCCAATGACGAACGAAAACTATATATTGTTACAACTTTTAAACTAGGTCCTGTACCTGCTTAGGTCTAGTAAGGTATTCATCTGAAAGACAATACTATCTCTTAACAGCCTTCAGTTCTCTGTCTTCCATGATCTCCAACAGCTTGGCTGACCCTCAAGCACCTGAGTCACTGGACAGCGGAAGGTTTCACATTCCTCGGGATATGGTTGCCTCGGGATATGGTTGTGTGTGTCCAACACTTATGTTCTGCTTCCGCTTCTAAAGAATAAGCCAAATCCGTGCCCCCCCCCCCCGCCCCGGGTACTAGTTAAGAAACTGAGCAGCGATTTTGATCAACTAAAAGGGGAAGGGAGTGGGTTGCTGAGTGGCCCATCTACAGAGTCATCAGCTCTTGAGAAGGAACAGCTGGCATTATCTCTGAACGTTTTATTTTATGGTCTAGTCTTGAAGGCGACTGAGTGAGGTATTCTAGTTTTATTGAACTTGCTAAGAAAATGAAGACTGACCTGAACTGAGTTCAAAATAAAACTGAGTTCAAAATCCACTAAACCAACGGGATTTGTGGACGTTAAAATAAAGACAAGTACCACATAGCATATACTCTTACAAAAATGTGCCTTTGGGAGTATTTGCTTCAGGCAGAATTTTGTGTTCTTTTCTTTTTTAAGTGTATCTGTTTATTTTTGAGAGCAAGAGAGGGAGAGAGAGAAAGAACCCCAAGCAGGTCCTGCGCTGTGGGGCTTGAACTCACAAACCGTGAGATCATGACCTGGACCGAAGTCAAGAGTCGGACGCTTAACCGACTGAGCCACCCAGGTGCCCCCGTGTCTTCTTAAGCAAACGATACCAGAGCACTAGACTCCTAGGAACTGATACATTTCTAAAAAGACTACATTTTACTTCTAACCGGCAGCAAACTTAGGTTCATTATGTTACAGATATATTGCACATAAATTCTCTTTTACATTTCCTCAGCTATATTCTTTCTTTTCACTAGCAATAATCCCACTTGGAAAAGGAAAGCTGACAATTTTACGTGCTTGACTTTTCAAGGTACTGCCACATGACAGCAAAGCTCGACGACTTTTTGTAACAAGTGGTGGACTGAAAAAGGTTCAAGAGATAAAGGCAGGACCCGGCTCTCTGCTCCAAGAATACATCAACAGTATTAACAGCTGTTACCCGGAGGAGATAGTAAGGTGGGAAAAATGGACTTTGAGAAGTTCAAAATTATAATGTAGGCTTTCTGTTTTGAGGTCTGGATTTTATATCCACCGTGTCAACACGTGGTCTTGGAAATACTACATAAGACCAACGTGTACCTTTAATTCTACCTTGATCTCTTTTTCCCCCTCAAATTTAATAATGTTCTGATTGACACACACACATCTCCAAGTCAAACTGGAATGTCATTTGAGACATACCTATACTAACACATGCTTTATTAAAGAGCACCCGAATGCAGAGTCCAAGTTAAATTAACAGTCTTTAATGTGAACTTGATTTAGAAAGGGCCTATGGATGCTGATTTTCATGGTTTCCTGCATATTATTTTGCTGCCTTAGGCTCACATTTATATTAATAGGAGTCTAACAAATAGAAAAGAGATGTTGAGTGGTAAAAAGAAAGTTACTATCTATATTTGAAAAAAAAAATCATGTTTGTGATTTGCAGGTGCCTCATAGTAATGTAGCAGTTAATTCTCTTCAAGATTAATCGTTTTAATAAGATTGATTTGTAGAGCATTAAACCTAAGCCTCAGTCCTTTTAAGTCGAAAGTACTATACCACTAATACCAAAATAAATAAGAGCAAAGTTACCAAGAAAAGATAGAATGATTTAAACATCTGAGTTTTGAAAAATGCCCATAAACATTCAAGAATGTCTATCTGTATTTATCTGTATTTGTCTAATATTTGTCTACACATTTATCTGTATTTGTCTAATCCTACTTTCATTTCTTATTTTCTCTACTTAATATTAGAGAATATAAATTTGCAATGTTTAAACCAATGTTTAATATACTTCCTCCTATTTAAAAATTTGTCTTCTTTTCATATATATTCTTCCAGTAAGTTCTTTCCAGGGGTACAATTCAGGCACTCTTGTGAGCTTTATGACTGCTTGACTAAAAGAGTTCCAGTAAGTTAGCTTTAAAAATATTACTATTTAAAAAAGTATATCAAAGGAGTAGTGTATCATAAATGTATATCTACTATATATAATATACAAATAAAATAATATACAAAAAGCTAATATAACAAACAAAATATGTGTGTAACCATTAAATGAATGAAATATGAATATCTTTTACCAGGAAAAAAATTTGCATACATTCTTTAAGTTTTGGATAAAGAAGATGTGGTGTATGGTGGTAATATGCAATGGAATATTACTCAGCCATCAAAAAGAATGAAATCTTGCCATTTGCAGTGACGTGGATGGAGCTAGAATGTATCATGCTAAGCGAAAACAAATACCATACGATTTCACTCATGTGGAATTTAAGAAACAAAACAGATGAACATATGGGAAGGTGGGGGGAGAGAAGAGAGGGAAACAAACCACCAGAGACTCTTTTTTTTAAATCACATTTATTTATTTTTGAAAGACAGAGAGACAGAGCACAAGGAGGGGAGGGGCAGAGAGAGAAGGGCAGACAGAGTCTGAAGCTCCGAGCTGTCAACACAGAGCCCAATGGGCTTGAGCTCACAAACTGTGAGATCATGACCTGAGCCGAAGTCAGTCGCTCAACCGACTGAGCCACCCAGGCGCCCCTAACCCTAAGAGACTCTTAACGACAGAACAAACTGAGGGTTGATGGAGGGAGGTGGGTGGGAGATGGGCTAGATGGGCAATGGGTACTAAGGAGGGCACTTGTGATGAGCACTGGGTGTTGTACTGAATACATAAACAAAATTATAGAAAGATGAAAAAAGAAACTAAAGGGCCCAAAATGGAATGACCTATTAGAGTTAACCAAAAGTAAGGTACTTTCTTGAATAGCAGTCTTCTTTTTACTCCTTTCCGGAATCACTTTCCAGAGCACTAAGGGAAAATGAAAACTCTGTCATATTAGAATGTAATCTGGTGCTTTGTCAAAATACCACCATAAAATTTTAACCTCCCATTCTATTTAGCTTATAATACCATTGTAAAATTTTAACCTCACATTTAACCTCACAATGTTAACCTCAAATCTGTGATCTGGCATTCCATTTTAAAAATTAGCCAATTATCGGGGTACCTGGGTGGCTCAGTTGGTTAAGCATCCAACTCTTGATTTCGGCTCGGGACGTGATCTCGTGGTTGTGGGATTCAGCCCCGCATCAGGCTCTGTCCATACTGAGCGTGGAGCCTGCTTGGGTTTTTCTCTCTATCCCCCTCTCTCTGCCCCTTCCCAGCCTGCATTCTCCCTCTCAAACATTTTTAAAAATTGGCTAATTATCATGAAGAATTCTAAGTAGCTTCTTCATGTTTGTTATATTTTGTAAAGAATTAGGTTCTATAGAACTTAAAGGTGTTTTGTAGAAATGTTTGAAACATTGTCTATGAAAATGGACAAATATAAACTCAGAATGGTTTTATTTTTGTAATCGTGTAATTCTCAAGAATCATTGGGTGACTATTTTAGAACTAATTATTCCTTATGATACAGATTATCAATGGATACGTTCTTCCAGCTGTTATTAGCCTAAGCATTTGTTTCGTACTGCCGCATTTAAAAATCTCTAATGAAGGTAGTTGGTGGGATGAGAAGGAAGCAGCTCAGGACTAGATGTTGGAAGGCCTGAGTTCTAATCCTGGCCCATTCCACCGCAGGAAGGTATTTTTGGAACTCCTCTGTCTTTGGGATGTTTGCCTAGACTAGACTATATTATAATCAATATAAAAAATTATGAATGAGCTATTTCATTTTTCATGCTAAGTTTTTGAAATCTGGTGGGTTATTTTATCACTTCCAGTGCATCTCAATTCAGATGCTAAATTTTATTAGATGTACTTAGCTGTATTTAGATTATATAAAGCTTACAGTTGAAAAAGCAGATTCATAAGTTGTTTCAAAGACACCTAAAAGTTTCACCAAAAATAACCGGAGTATCAGCTTTTACGATTAAATATAAAAATTCAGGTCCTCAGTCATGCTAGCCATATTTTTAAAAAATTTCTTTACTTATTTTGAGATAGAGTAAGAGAAAGATCATGCGTGTCCATGAGCAAGCAGGGGAGGGGGCTGGGGGACAGAGACACAGGGAGAGAGAGAATCCCAAGCAGGCTCCATGCTCAATGCAGAGTCCAATGTGGGGCTTGATCTCAGAACCATGAGATCTTGATTCATGAGATCACGACCTGAGCCGAAATCAAGAGTTGGATGCTTAACCGACGGAGCCACCCAGGTGCCCCACACCAGCCATATTTCTAATGCTCAATAGCCACATGTAGCTAGTGGCTACCATATGAAACAGCACCATTTTTTAAGTTTTGGTTTTCTAAATCTACTTCTTACCATTAATATAAAAAGTACCTATCTTGTGTCTGACCCGTTTATCAGGCCTAGGAAGGTGAGGCCTGTTTTAAAATGTGTGACTAACTCAGAAACAGTTGTGACTTCCCCAGTGTAAGAGTACTTCCAAGAGACCCACTGTTGAAGGACGATTTTTTTCAAGGCCAGGATGCCTTGAGAGAAGAAACATTTTTGAGGATAATCTTTTATGTATGCATGTGTCTGTTTAATTATGTCCACCTTAACTGGACAAATTGTAGAAGAAATTAGTGTAATATAAATTGTGAGTTTTTATTTATTTTTTTATTTTTTTAAAGTTTTTTTTTTTTTTTTTTTTTTCCCCCAACGTTTATTTATTTTTGGGACAGAGAGAGACACAGCATGAACGGGGGAGGGGCAGAGAGCGAGGGAGACTCAGAATCGGAAACAGGCTCCAGGCTCTGAGCCATCGGCCCAGAGCCTGACGCGGGGCTCGAACTCACGGACCGCGAGATCGTGACCTGGCTGAAGTCGGACGCTTAACCGACTGCGCCACCCAGGCGCCCCTAAATTGTGAGTTTTTAAGTCACGCCTCTGAAGATAGAAGATAACGAGGACAAAGCAAATCTTGAACATCAGATTTTATCTGGAGAGAACACCTTAGGAGGTTTAATTATTTTGAGTGTTTTGGAAAGTTTTGAATTACATTTACTTATTTTTTTTTAATCTGGTTATTCTAGAATGCCTGCCAAATTTTATTTGACATACTTTTTAAAAAAAAATTTTTTTTTTAACGTTTATTTATTTTTGAGACAGAGAGAGACAGAGCATGAACAGGGGAGGGGCAGAGAGAGAGGGAGACACAGAATCTGAAACAGGCTCCAGGCTCTGAGCCGTCAGCACAGAGCCCGACGCGGGGCTCGAACTCACGGACCGTGAGATCATGACCTGAGCCGAAGTCGGATGCTTAACCGACCAAGCCACCCAGGCGCCCCTTATTTGACAAACTTTTATGTGCACGTAAATTCTTTCCACAGATACGAAGCATACCATAATGCATTAATTAATATATTTCATACTTTCCTAGTATGTATTTTACAAAATGTTCAATTGCTAAATATAAACTTTAGTACTACAGATGCCCCAAATCAATGAAAATGACCAATTTCCTAAGTATGTATGATAGGATATTTGTAAACCATTTATTAAATAGTTCTTTAATGTGAATTATAAACCCAGAAATTTTTGTCTTTATGGGTCACCATATCTGATTAAAACATACAGTGAGAATAACCTGTAAGGCAATCAGAATGCAGACGATGATCAGTAACGACAGACCGTATTGTGTAACTTATGAAAAAACCTATTAGCTGTCCTCACTCAGGCAACATCAATCATTTAACATAATAACAGTCTCTATAAGAAGATGCTATCACTGGATCCAGGTATCTTGCTTTGAAAATAGTTCTGTGCGCTAATAGCCCTCCAGTCTTGTGGGTTGGTGTTTTCTTCCTTCACAGTCCCTCATCTTACGCACAAAGCATTACTGGAGCTTAATTATTCAGGGTATGGTTGAGGTTTCACTGATAGAATTAATTTAGATAAATATCTTACACTGAATCTTTTGTGCCTACTGTGATGAATCCTTTCACAAGTATCTAATAGAAAACTTTCCTTTTCAGGTATTACTCCCCTGGATATTCTGACGCACTTCTACAGAGAGTGGACAGCTATCAACCACTTGCCAATTAAGCAAAGTTCTGTTTTCGTACTCTAATTCACAACAGGGCATTATGAACGGTAGCTGATAACGTTCTTGCCAAATATTTGAACTGAGCGCATTCCAGATTTATTCAGTGTGAAATACCTTTGGATAATCTTTTCTAAATTTATGTAAAAAAAAAATTAGTGGCCTGAATGAGGAATGACTATTGGTCATTTGCTTAGGACTTGCTCTAAGGGTGAACTGTAGAAAGACATTAAAGGGTGCTAAGGCATTTGTTATTTTTCCATTAACCATCCCCAGCCCCTAAACACACATACCTCCAACTAGATATAGGTGAAAAATGATGCTGAAAACTCTTAGCTATCCTGGCCAGTTCCTCCCAGACACAGGCAAGGAAAGTGGCCTTGCAGATTCCTCAGGAGGACATTGAAGGGAGATGTCAAAAGAGGAAACCGATGACAGAAGTAGAAGGCCCTTGAAGAGACTCTGATGCTCTTTACCTAAATGCATTAACCAAACACTTGGAATCTACGGATAACCTGTCAGATTTTCCTAACAACTTAGGAAACTCTCCTCCTCTTGATGCCAGATTTTCTAAGCTCTTTTTTCGCCTCACTGAAACAGTTCCTTTACCTGTCATGGGGCTGGAGGAGGTCCATGTTAAGCATTATTCCACTGCAGACATGTTTCCCATTTCATTGAAGGGTTTCTGAGTCCAGCCCTGCTCGTGAATAAACAAGGAAGCAGGCAAGTAAAGTGGGTCCTTAGTATACCCTGTCCTAGCTTCCCTTTCCCCCCAAGTTTTAAAAATCACATTTCCAGGGATTTAGGAAATAGTTTAAAAAGAATACCTCCAGGCTTGGACTTTGCATGCACTTTCACTTAGGGAGCTGAAAGGGGGTGACAGGGGGTTTCAATAAAATTTTAAACAGAAACATTAGAATTGTCCTCTGCATGTTTCCCGCAGTGTTAATTCTGAACTTGGGGGATACGTAAGTAGGCTTAAGAGTCTTGGTTAGTTGGTGTGTGAGTGTGTGTGTGTCTGTGTGCGTGTCTGTCAGTCTGTCTTTTGATCTAAAAGGAGATTCCTTACAGCGATCTACCCTGGAGGCCTGCAGAGGAGGTGAATGATAACCAGACAGCCCTTGGGCCACCGTGTTCCCAACCTGGCCAGCTTTCAGCTTTCCATCTTGGATTCTTTCCCTCCGCCCCCCAAAAAGAACCTACCCATTTAATTTTGGTATTTTCTGGATTCATCTGTCATCATTTCCTAACAGGGCATAACTTTGTTGCATCTTTTTTTTTTTTTTTAATTTTTAAAAATTGTTTATTCCTTTCTGAAAGAGTGCAAGCAGGGGAGGGGCAGAGAGAAGGGGACAGAGAATCCGAAGCGGGCTCTGTGCTGATGGCAGCGAGCCCGACGTGGGGCTTGAACTCACAAACTGCGAGATCATGACCTGAGCCGAAGCCGGTCGCTTAACTGACTGAGCCCCCCAGGAGCCCCTGTTGCGTCTTTATAAACTCCATCATACCCACGATGGGCCCATTTCTCTTCGCCTTATATCATCCTAGGATTGCCTGCAGTTTGACTTTTTAATACTTTCTGGGGTCTACTTTGTTTCTTTGATTTATTGCATAAGAAAATAATTTTTATTCTCAGTTGTGTAGGTTTCCTTTCTCTCCTTCATGCCTGACCAGCTTCTCCTGTGAACCTGTCGACCACCTGAGAACATAAAGGTAGTTCTCATCTTTCTTCATTAATACCATTTTTCTTTGATGGCCGTGTTGGTAATGACAAAAACCAGCGTGTCTCGGATGAAACCCCCTCAGCAGTTATGGGAACGGTGAATTTCCTATCACGTACTTCCTGCCACTGTGTGTTGATGTCGGTTTTCACTTCATACATCATTTCATACGTATCAAAGAAATAACACAGTTAGTAGTGTTTGGATACGTGCTATAATTTTATCATACGCAATCTGGAAAATACATGCTGTGAAATGTTTCTTACTATAAAACACTTAAAATTAAGCTTGCTTTATTTTTAGAGAAGTCTATTATGAGACTTTTTTTTTTTTTT